TTAATGGTTATGTCATCACATGTTACATGTGTGCGTTATGTTACTCTATATTCATTTCTATAAAATTAATAAATTATTTTTATGCTATTATGTGTAAATACCTATGTGATGTAAGTGTCAGAAATTTTATCACGAGACTCCTTTAGGAGAGTGTTTAGGACTGTTTTGAGCTACAGAAGTTCAGTGTTAAACTGTCCTTTCAATATGATGATGCACTGGAAAAAAAAAAGGTTCACAGCTTAGAGGTGGAGTTGGAATGTTTTTACTGGCCACTGTTGTCCATTGCACTAAATATTTAAAAAAAAAAACCAACTCGTGTGGGTTCCTGGATTATTGCTGTATGTCCTCTTATTTCTCTTAATATGTTCCACTGCTCTTGCTCATCCCCATGTAAGAATACCACTGGGTTACATTTTTATTGTTGCCTTGTCACTTTCAAGAGATTTAATATCTGTTAATTTGGGGTGCCATACAACTAGTGAAGATCCTAGGGAAGGTCTGCTCAAAAAATTACTTAACGCTCTCAGCTGCTGAAGGAGAAAAGTGAACCACGTTTGAACAAGTCTGCAGATGTTGTTTTAAGAGGAAAACAGTGCCTTGGTTCTGTAATGAAAGTTTTTTCCAAAGGAATGTATTGTAGGCTTTGAAAGTACTGCACTTCTTACTGTTCTGTATTATTTAAATTTTGGCAAGAGCTTAGAAGCTAATGTGCATGCATTGATTTTTGTAATTTTTAGATCACTGCAAGGATAATGAGAAATATAAATAACTTAGCCTCCTGGTATATTAAGTATGTAGACATATCATCAACTGTAATTTAGAATTGTTTTTAGATTAAATCATTTTTACAAATAGTTATTTAATTTAGCAAGTTTGTCCTTGGGTTCAATAAAGTCATCTGTCATTTATATCAGAACTGCTGCTTTTGGAAAAGGAAACATTTAACAACATTCAGTGAATCCTGAGAGTCTGTCAGCTTTTCTATTACATTCTTCAGCATGGCTTTTATTTAACAAAACACTGAAGCCATAGCTACCTTGTAGTCATCTCTTTCAGGTGTTCCTCAGTATTTGGAACCCTAACTGTAGAGCATATTTACTTAGATTGTAAATAATCAGGTGGAATTAGCCCAGTGCCTTTGCAGTAGCATGGATTAGTTCTTTGAGTAAGAGGTTTTTTGTTTTCCATTTTTTATTTTTTTGACTACCCCAAGTTAATCTATAAAGAGAAGTACCTTGCTAAATAAGAGATAGGGATAAGGTTGCTCTGGAAAGTGAAAAAGGAATTTACCTGTTCCTCTTCAAAAGCAAACTGTTTTGTATTTTGCTAAGACAGGTGCATTTTTGAAGTGAATGACATGCACAGTAGAAGATGATTACTTTTGATTAATAACCTTGGCATTAATGAAAGAAAAAGCAGCTCAACTTCTTCTGAACAAAAGAAAAAAAGCAGTGAGACATTTTGTCCAGTTTTTTTTTTTTTTAAAAAAAAAAAACTTAGATTCCAAAATCTTAGGTTTCAGTCATTTCTCTAATGACTTTTAAATACGTGTCAAGATTTTTCTTGTTTCGCTGGTATGCCATGACCTGAATGGTAACTGGGTTTGTTTGCTAGAACTTAGAGTCAAGGAATTGTAAAAGAAACGTTATTCATTATTTTGGTGTTGTAAACATTGCTTCTAAAGACATTATTTTCTCATCTTATTGTCTTATGTAGGCATGGAGCAATTCCATAATGGCCATTGGAGAAATACCTGATGAATCAAATTTATGCATCTGAAAACATTATGATCAATTACTTCTGTTGGAGAAGTAACTGGTTTATCTTTAGTCTTATCTGTAGTCATGTCTGAACAAACGTTTTCAAGTTTTGCTCATCTCTACTTTCAGAATCAGTTGTTTGAGTTTCAGGAAGGATTTGCTTTTTTTTCTAAAGAGAGGCAAATTTCACATTTATCCTATAAACAGCTTTGAAAATACTCTGACATTTGTGGTTTTTTTCTAATTGTCTTGCTCATTCTGCTATAGGAGTTCTATTTTCCTGGCCGTATTGCTTTGACTAATGATATCATGGTCTAAACCTCTCTTTCACACTTGTTCCTTGGAGAAAGTACTGAAAGGGATGGGAGGAGGGTAGTCTCAGCCTTTCATCTTTATTTTTTGTTGTCAGTATTTCCAGGTTGGAAGTTCAGCACATTGGTCGTAATTATTTCATATTAACATAGTAGCTACATAGGTTACCCCTGAAGTAGAATTTTATTCTGTTTGATTTCCATGCTACTTTCAGTTCTGAAATGTTTGCTTGAAGTATATTAAGCACTTTGATTAACATTGATCATGTCTATCTTGAAATGAAGTTTACATGAAGATCTTCCATGCTTTAATGTTATGTCTGTTTATTGTCTTTTCATGGACTAGATTAAAGCATGTCTTGTAGCTGAAACAAAGTGAGTTTGAGATGTTATTTTAATCTGCAAGGATAGCATCTCAAGTTTGAATTAACACTGGAAAGAGCTCTGATTTTTGCCCTTTTTCATAAAATGATTTGAGATGGAAGGGACCTTTAAAAATCGCCTAGTCCAACACCTCTGCAATGAACAGGGCTGGGGATTTTTGTGTCTGAGAGGTTGCTCTTAGGCAAAACTGAATGATGATAACTTATAGAGGTAGATTTAATGTGCTATGGGAGAAAAAATTCTCCCTGAAGGTGTGTGTTTGGCCCAGTCTGCTTTTTCTCATGAGAAGCTTAGAAGCAAGAATTCACAGATGAATAAAGAAGGAAGGAAAGAAAGTATGCGCATACTCAATCCCATCTGTATCCAAAGTTACCATGAGCCCGTCTGAATCCTTCTGGCACCATCTTCGTCTTTGCCCTTAGCTCTCCCCAAAACTCTCTCTGACAGTTTGTCCGATCTTAATGTCAAAATCTATTACTCTGTTTCTAAAATTAGGAGAGCAAAGCACAGTTTTGGATCTATGGTAAGGAACTTTCAGCAAACTCAAATTGTTGGCATTTGGGGTTGGTCTGGTAAAAGCTGTCCTTTGTGGTTGCTCGCTCTTCTGAGAAGCAGAGTTAACCAGTGTGGCTCATTCAGTAAATAGAAAGCAAATAGTTTCTCTTGTACTGGAAGAGAGACAATCCTCTTTGTACAGAAGGATTCCCTGCAGCTAAGATTAAAAAATAAGATTTCTTTTGGTTTTGTTTTAAGTAGACATTTTTCTCCGTCCTCTGCAGTGAAGATTGTAGAAAAATACTCCCACGAATAGGGGTAAAGAAAAACAGAGACATGGCCTAACAAAGCACGAACTTACCACAAGCTCATGTGTTAGATGCTGCTAAAGGACAAGATATGAAGACTGTTTCATAACTTGAGTGTTCCTGGAGCCATAAATGCTAGGACACATGTGGTTTGTTTGTAATGAGGGAACACATTGGAATCATTTCAGGAAACGCTCATAATTGAGCTATTAATAAACAGAAATTACAGTCTAATTGGGCTAGATGTCTTTATAGCAACAGTCCTCCCCTCAGATAAGTCAACAGACTCAAAATGCCCTAATGCAGTATCAGTGCTGTATGAGTCAAACTTCAGTGTGGGGAGGCAGCTCCAAAAAAATTCTCAAGTTAAAAAAAAAAAAAATAGAATCAAGGTAGTTTTCAGTATGGCCTGGAGTTCTAAAAAGTTTCTTTGCAGAGAGTGCACTGATCTGTGGAACCACCTTTCTGAGCCCCAGTACCTTATCATATTGTCACCTCCAGTCTCCAAACACTCTTAACTGTGTTTGAAGGTGCCTGCACACTGCTTTGTTTAGACTTGCTGATTTGTGAAAAACTTAAAGCCTCTGTTTTGCTAGATTTACCTAGATTTGCCTGTATCATCAGATAAGCTTGTAAAAAAGTGTAGAACAAAGACACAAAGACAGTAGGGATTACCAAGGTAAATTTCTAATTATGTTTGGAAAAGAAGTTACAAAAGATAATGAAACCCAGTCCTTGGTTGCTGGCAGCTCAGTGACCATGGTGTAAAGCTAGATGTTTTGCCCTGCACCATTGACAGAATCTCTAGCCCAGTCAGAGTTGCCTCTCTCGGGCTTGACCATTCACTGATTATTTTTACAGAATCCTTTTAATATGGACAGTGTATTTGGGGACTTAGCTGCTCACATCTTTAAAGACTCCAGAGTGTCTTCTGAACTGTTTGCTTTCCTGCCCTAGCAAACAGTATTTGTAGTAGCTTAAAACCAGCTTTTGTAGACTTGTCTGGCAAAAGTGGAAGCATATGAAGTAATTTATGAGGACTGTTGCTGTGCAGAAGGTTTTGGCCTCTGTGCTTTGATTTGGTCTTAGCCATTTATGAAGACCTTGAGTGATGCAGTGCCATCCAGACTGCCAGAGGGTGCCTAGCTCAGGCACCCTTCTCATTCCCTGTCTGGCTTAGAATTCCTGTGTCAAAGTGACCTGCTTGCTCTAGCTTTAGGATGAGAAAGATGTAGTATGTTTGTCTGTTGTCATGGTTAGTAAGCATCAACCCTGATTTTTTTTCAACAGTTGTTGACTGTTGGTAGAATTCTAGTGAGAACATTATAACATCAGTTTTAGAAATCGTCTGGCCTTTGGTGGTTTCAGAGGTGAAAGGACTTATTTATTTTAACAGAAAATGGAGGCACTATGCTCTAGTTAGGATGCTCTATGTGTAAAAGCATATGCTTGGAAATAGTAGTTGAGAATCGGTTCAGAAATATTCAAACTTGGATTAAGAAATGTGAGTGCATTCTTCTAATGTGTGCTAAGTTTTCTTTTCACACTATGCAGCTCTTTGTAAAATGGATGGTAGGCATAAAATGCTTTAAATGCACCCTATATTTCTGTTATAACAGTTATCTTTAACTATAAGGACAGGAGTGACAAGTGAGGATAATCTTTCATCACAACTCTGTGCCATATTCTAGTATATGTTTAATTTTTTTTAGATATATGAATTATTTCATTTTACTTTTTAGCCTTGCTGATGCCTGGGAAAATGATTTTGGAGTTCATCCTTTAAAGTTTCCATCAGAAACATGTCTGGAATTACTTCTGATGCTGAGTTTGAGTACTGCTTCTTTACCCCCTTCAATTCAGCGCATGAACTCTTTTCAGGTAAGGAGCAGCTGCTGTTTCAGTATAATGGTGTTATTTCTAGGAAGAAGATAGATCCAAGGGGTCTATAAATGCTTTCAGACTAAAAGTTTGTCTTCTGGAGTTGAGTAACTTTTCATTTTGTTATATACAGCAGTAGAGAATTTCTTTTCGTTCTCAGTTTTTCTTTTTCTTTTTTTTTTTTTTATTACATATAGACTAAGGCAAGCAGTACCATTGTTTTATTAAACACTGAGTCACTGTTTAAATGTTTAAAGAAATGACATAAAATTTGCAAACTTAATCTGGAATGGCTAGAATTATTCAACTCTCTTGAAATGCACCATTACATAAAATTATCTTGTGTTCAAAAATAAATAAATGAAGTCCTCAGCTAAAAATGAAGGTTTACAGTGGTGAAAACCAGTCTGAGCAATGGGACTAAATATGCAAGCCAGTGTATAAAATTAGCGGTGAAGCATTCGGAATTTCATCCTGTTTTCTGTTACTGCTACAGTTCTCACCGATAGCAAATTTTCCTCAAAAATAATTGTTGCAGGCATGTTAAATTGTGGTTTGCGTGGTCTTAGTATATTTCTAAACATGGACAAGTCTTACAACAGATAGAGGTATCTAAATTCATCTTCGTGCAACCTATGAACTCAGCTTCTTTTTTTTGTATGTGATATTGTCTCATGTACGTGTATATTCTGTATGAAAATGATACTTGTATTTGAACTGAAAATCACTGTTGAATTGCTTGTTACCCATACGTGGCAGTCTTGTTCAAGAGGAGGCTGGCTTCTAGGCTACTGAATACTGGATTCTGGTGCTAAGGGCACTTGCAGAGAAATGACCCAGGGATGTGCCTGAGCTTTCTGCTTTCCTAAATATTCCCACTCTTAAACACATGCTGTTGAGCTAAATAGATCACTAGTTTCCACTCAGGCATGTTCTGACACAGCATTTTAAAATGAATCTAACAGGCAGCTGTGTGTGTTGTGATTTGAAAGTTACAGCTTAACTCCTGAGATCCCATTAGTAAGCTAATAATACATAGCTAAATGTACCAGCTGCTTATAACTGAGTAGGCAAAAATTATCCACACCCATGTGATGTTTGAGATTGTATTTACTCCATCTCTTGATGGTATTTCAGTGTTGCAGTTTTGACAAGCCAAAATCTTTAGTCAGTATACATTTGCAGTAGGTGTCGTTTAGGTTGTAAAACCCACACAAAGTAAATGTGCTTAGTTGCTAATCATTTCTGTAGTAAACTCTGTACTGCTTTGTAAAGCTGCAGAAATGCTTTCCAGGACAAGCTTAGCAGGCTCCATATCTGTGCTGAGACATAAATTACATTTTATTTTCAAACACTGTGCTACTGCTTAGTAACATAATATTTGAAATCCCTTTTCGTTCCATTTTGATCTTGTGAAGACTTTTCACTGTGATTTACATCACTGGAGCAGCCTGGAAGAAAGAAGCAGCAGCAGGCTGTTCACAGTACCCTGATTTTAAAGGGGTAGGGCAGTCACTGCAGCCAGCTTTTAGGGTGCCTGTTTCTGCTAGAACAGGCTGTTGATTCTAGATCCTAGAATGCCTTTGTCTCATCTCTCATTTTGCCTGTTCAGTGACAGTAGCATTTTCTGGTAGACTGTAGAAAGTCAAATCTTAGGAAGCTTGGGCCCAGAAGCTTTTGAAGGACCAAAATGGTAGACAAGTTCATGTTTGTCAATGGCTGCCCCTCTGTTTTCTAAGAAAACTTTAATTTGCCATCCTCACTTGCAGCTTTGCAGACCTGAGGTCCTACTTGGGTGCCTAGAACCAGGGATTAAGATTGGCTGAGATACCTCGTATTTATCCTATTTATTTATCCTATTTATTTAGCAGTGCAGAAAGCAGTAAGAAGGGAATGAGGAACTGGCTACTTGAAATGATTGAAAATGTTCTTAGCTTGCTTTGATCTGAATCCTTTACATTATATTGAAAACTATGTTAGCTTGCTCAGTTCTGGATCTCAATCTCTACCCGCCTGAGGTAACATCTCTTGGCTTTAGGACTCATTGGACTTGACTTTATGTATTATCTAAAATACTTGCAGATGCTTGTAGCTAGCATCCCCACTTGAGTTATAATGTGCTTCATCACTGAACTGCTCAGTTGCTGCTTCTCAGTGTAGTCTGGGAAGATGCTTTGGTGCTTTAGAGTTTAAAACAAAAAGCAGTTAACACAGGGAAATGCTTTAAAGTGACATGTAATCTCTGCTGTGTTTTGCTAACCTTATCTTTCTCTGAATTCAAGCACAGTGAGCAGAAAATGTCGTGGATATTGAATTATTATGATGATACTTGGGGCTGCTCAGCACATTCTCTCTCACTGGTGTTACTGTGGGAAGCTAAATGCCTGATTTCCCACATCAGGGCAACGTTCATAAGACTGTAGGCTGCAGCAAGAGTTCTCAGAGTTAAATAGATCACAGTTTCATTTTTATTGTCACAGTTGCATGAAACTGAAAGAAGATTAGATTTTAAAGATGGCAAAGCATTTTAAATTTTTGTTTGAAATAGTTGTTGATATTCTTCACTGCTGTGCCCAGTGTTACCATGAGTTATCAGCACACTGTCTGCTGGAATTGTTTTGCTTCCAAAAAAAAAGGGGTAAAAAAAAAAAAAAAAAGGTTCTCATAGTGCCTGTTGAGTTCTGTCATTTGAAATAATTTGGTGCAGAAAACATTCTGAAGTACTCAGTGGTGGTGATATAAAAGAAAAAGTTGCTCAGAAACTATAAAAATTAATGAAAAACATATCCAGTGTAGTTTAATGGCTCTACTGTGTGAGAATAAAAAACTCATGGAAGGCAAAATACAAAATTGCTACTGCCTGAGGTATACATATTGTCTGAACTAAAGCCTTGACATTCAGTGTTTTCTAAGTGTTGAGAATTACATATGTAAGTTAGGATGTTTCAGGAACAGAGAGTAATTGCAGATGCACCTGTGTTTTCTGACAGTCCTTTTTGAAACTAACTGCCACTTCAATTTAGGAAAATCTGCTCAGCTCCTCCTTTTGTTGCCTTCGGAGTATTTGGAGCTGCAGATGTCACAGATTCTTTTAAGTTGGACTCTGCTCCTCTGGGATACTGTCAAACAGTAGCAAAGAAGGAATAGGGAGATATTCTGGCTCTGGGATATGAAAGATGACAGTATCAAGACAGAAGGAAATTCATCTGTCTAAGAAACCAGGAATAAATCCATTTGTACATTGAAATATTTTCTTTTCAAATGTTTTTAAATTAAGCTCTGTATGACTTGCTTACTCATCTCCCACAAGATGACTTACAGATTTGCAGATGTACATTCTGTAAAATTTTGCACACAATGGTTAGAATCCCAGATCCCTTAAGATTTCTGCAGACAAGTGTTTCTTCATTTTTCTGACTCTCAGTGACTGCTTATGTCTCTGAAATTTGAGTGGACACTGACAGTTATATGGAAAAAACACTGCAAAATGAAATGGAGTAATTTTTATTTCCCTTTGCAAAATGTAAACTCTAGCAAGTAAACCAAGCTTAGTGTCAGCCTCTTTTGGTGCTCCTATTTCCCCTAGTTTAATGTGCTTTTCTTAATTTACACAGATTTGGATAAAAGTGCTTGCTGATGTCTTTTTTTCAATTTGGGCCAATTTCACTTGGTTGCCAGGATGACATAGGACGGCTTAATTTTGTTTTGAATGCTTGTATAGTTTCTTTAGAAACAATTTTCTATGCAAAGGACTGGGAAAAAACCCACAAAACACCAGCATTCTCCTAAACGTTTGGATTTCATTTAGCATTACATCTGCAAGTAAGTGTTTCATTTTGATAATTATGTGGAAATATATTAAGGATCAATTTTAAACAATTTTTTTGTAAATAGGAAACAAGTACCCAAACCTTAAAGTACTTGAAAAGCAGATGTTTTCTTTCTAAATACACATACAAGCATTTAATTGACTTGAAAATGAAAGAAGTTATAATGTCTGTATATTACGTTTTGATTGCTTGCGTTTACTAAATGTCATAATAAATCTGTTTGAAGACTGCAGAGTAATTAGAAAAAGTGATGGTGATTTTGAGGAAATGCTGACAGAAACAAGCAGTAGTAAAAGAATTAGTATTTCAAAGCCAAACTTAAATACTACATTACAAAATGACAGAAATGTCTAGACTCAGTCAAGAGATTGTCTTGTTTTTCTCATCTGCTCATTCATTGTTTTAAGGTGGATTTTATCATGTGGCCAGGCTGTTCTGTGTTCACCATAAGCTACCTTTCTACAAGCATCTCTAGAGAGATCTGTGGTATTTCTTGAATACTGAATATACTGAATCCTTTTTTTTTTTTTGACAAGCTCTCTCAGAACCTCGAGTTGATTTTCTTTTTTGCTTGAATTGTAGTTATGTACCAGCTTGAAGTCTTCGTTGAACCGTAACCAAAAATATTTCCTACTATTGATTCCTCATGAACTTAATTAACTCAATGTCTCTTACCTGAAAAGTGTTCAACGCAGATGTTCTCCATACACAGGAGCATATTGAGCAGTGTCTTGTGTTTTCCCCTGCATGTCCCTGATGTGAGTAATCCATACCTGCAGGACAGGCAGTCATTTCTGCACTATGGCTTTATGAATTCTGGTGCTGCTACAGAGGTGCTGATGTGAAGGTACTATCCCATTTACCTAAGGTCTGGTATGGCTACACTGCCTCTAATGGAAGGGAGTTGCCCATTTCTTTGGTGTCAGACTAATGGAAATTCAATCGCATCTAAACCAAAATTAAAACATTGAGCTTACTGGTGGAAGTACAAAATTTTGTGGTCGTTTTCAGTGCTTGGTGATTGAGAGTCAGAACTAAACTGAGATTCAAAATTTGTCATCTGTTTCTTGCAGTTGAGTTCACCAGTACAGAAAAAAACAGAGAGGATGAATCTGGGCATGTTGTACACAGAAGAGTTTACAAAAACATGAGCCTTCAGTGAGAATCAGT